TTGTGCCGTCTGTTCTGTTCCAAATCTACAATTCACTGTGACATATTCAATTTGACAGCCTAGTTGTTGCTTACCATCCAATTTCATCCTGTAGTTTCTTGTGCTTAAATACGTTGATGTGCATGTTTTACACACACTGACCTTTTGAGGAGGATTTTTGGAGGGGTGTTTTTCTTTTTATAACTCTTAGTATGTATGATGTTTAACAAAAATTGTCAAGCAAACCAATTTTCTTGAGGCCAGCTGCTGCACAAACTGCCCAAAAACTAAAATTGTTGGGAGGTTTTGGTTATGAACAAAAAGTTTCTTTAAACACTGCTGCAAAGTCCTCTAAATTTGTTTTATTATAGAAACAATGAAACAGCACTTTGAGTTTTATTTTGTTAAATTTGGAAGAGATGCTGTTCTTTTGGGTCTGAAACAAATGTTATTTAGTTTTTTAAACGTGGTTGATTTTATGTGAATTCTACGCATTGTTTTGTAATGTTAAAATCAGTTAACTAAAATGGTGTACCACAGTTTAGATGATGTCTATTTATTTGTTCTTTTCATTGCATTGTGCCATTTTGGGAAACTATGAACTTGCCATAATTGTACATCAGTTTAGTTTACACAAACCTGAGTTTTGAAACTTTATGCAAAAAAAAAACTTCAGTTCACATCACAGGATTTATTACCAGGAATTCACATATGATTAAAAATAATTCTAAATGGGCAGTTATTTGAAATTAAACCTATTTTAGCTTCACTATGCTTTATCCCAAATGTGGAGGGGAAAGAAGTAATTGTTATTTTTACTCCTTCCAGTTTCTTAAATCATCTATCTGACTTTGGGCACAGTGCTCTCTCTACAGTCTGAAAAAGGTACTGCAGTCTTTGAAAAAGTGCAATTGTACTGCTGAAGTGCTTCTGGCAGCAATAAAGTTGTCCTTGATTCATTATTATGTTTCTTGCTTATTTTATTTAAAGTTGTTACACAATTGCTAACTGTACACTTCTTTGAGAATAATCAGCAAGGTAGCGTTTGTGTGCTTCCTTTCTGCCTACGTCAGTAGCCTTCCTTCTTTCCCCTGAAAATTGAAACATTTAATTTGGTAAGAAATATTACAAAGTAGTAAATGCCCATATTAATGTCACACTAAAATGCTACAAGAGTAGGGAAATTTGACAATTGAACAACCTTAAAGATTCTGTATCTGAATGCACAAAACATACTATTTCCTTGCTTAGCTATGAATAAAGACACAAACGAAGGAAAACCATATTGCAAAGGTGTGTGGCAGACTGAAACCTTTAAAGATCAGCAATCTGCCAAAGTGTTACCTAAATAAAAAGCATGAGGGTAGGTGAAAAACTGGGGCAAAATATAAAAGTGGATAGCAAAAGCTTCTTAAATATATAAAAGGGAAGAGAGTAGCTAAAGTGAATGTTGGTCCCTTGGAGGATGAGACCAGGAAGTTAAGTGGGGAACACACAGGGTAGAGTCACTAAATCAATATTTTGCTTCACTTTTCATGGTGGTGGATACTAATATTATTCCAATAGTAGCAAGTACTGCAGAGGTCGTAGAAAGGAAGGAACATATGGAACAATCATCAGGGAGGAATAAGTACTAAGTAAATATTAGGATTGAAGGCAGACAAGTCCCTGGTGGCCTACATCCTAGAGTTTTAAAGAAAGTGGCAGCAGAGAGAGTGGATCCACTGGTTTTAATATCCCAAAATTCCCTGGATTGTGGGAAAGGTTCCAATGGATTAAAAAATGTTAATATAACACCCTTGTACAAAAAGGGAGGGAGGCAGAAAGTAGCTTGGATCGAGTTGGGATAAATGGGTCGTCTTCTGGTTGTCAAAATGTAACTTTATGGGGTGCCATAGTGGTTGAACATAGTTTGGTGCTTGAGGACCAATGATTATGCAGGACAAAGTACCATAGCCAAATTTGCAGGTTGGGCAAAAAGGGAGAAAGCAAATTGTAATGAGAAGAAATTTGCAAATGGTTGTGAATGGGCCAAAATTTGGCAAGTGAAGTTTAACATGGATGATGTAAGGTTATCCTTTTTGCTAAGAGGACTAGAAAGGCAATAAAAGTCAGTTATTCATTCCCAACATTTGATAAGACTTATCAAACTGACAATTTTAAAGCAGCTTTTGTAATGGGAGATGTCAGCTTATATTATGGGAAAGGTATCCATAAAGTCAGCTCTTAACCTAAGCAACACAGGACCAAATGTCAAAGGAACTATTCAATAATTATAAAGTTAGCTACAGTGTTGGTTCTATTGGGAAAGGAAGTAAAGGAGCCCTGGCTGATAAACTCTAAAATTCATGAATCATGTAGAATAAAAGACTCGGGAGGGCAGTTTGCTTATAACCCAAATATTTACCAATAACGTTGTTACTTCTGTTTTCCTACTTCATCTAACAACCACTGAAGGCACAACAAGTTTATTTATTAAACCTACACACTGAAGTATCGCAAGAGGCACCTCATTGAAGGGGAAACAACATCGATGGGTAGCTGCATTAGTAGAGGTGACAAAGGTTTCCAAATATAGGAAAAATACAATAATAGTTAAGGAGCGTAAATCTCAAACCTGGCACTGCATATTTTCAAAAAGGCAGGGAAAGGTAATGAATAAAAGCTTAAAAACTTAATTTACATAACACATCAGGAATTTGAAGTTTTGTTATTCTTGCTGTTGCCAGTTTTAAGATAAACAAAGAATATTGTTCAGATATTAGCACTGCTGTCTCAGCGCTAGGGACCTGGGTTCGATTCCAATTTTGGATAATTGACTGTGGAGTTTGCGTGTTTATCCCCGTGCCTGCTGGGTTTCTGTCTAGTGCTCCAGTTTCCTCCCAGTCCAAAGGTGTACAGGGATAGGTGGATTGGCCACGCTAAATTGCCCCATAGTGTGCAGGGTTATGGGGATAGGGTGGGATGCTTTTCGGAGGGTCTGTGTAGATTCAAATGGGCCGAATATCCCTACAATGCAGCTGGAGGCTATTTTTAGCCAGGAGGGCAGCAGAATGAGAATAATTGGAACAGAGGAAAGCATTCTTTCACAGAACACAAAAGTACACCAGTAGAATGGAGCAACATCACAGAGGGACATGCAATTTTTAAAAATTAATTTGTGGGATGTGGTTGTTTTAAAAAAAAAGATAGAATATCAGACTGATAAAGAAGAAAGGACAAGGCATAGAAAAGCTTCCATGATACAGGAAGGACCTGCAACCACTCACTACATGAAATTGTTGTTCTCTATCCATTAATAAATGGGTGCAGTTTCTCCCCAGCTCATCTGACCAGTCCACACGAGTTTTGAATACCTCCATCAAATCTCCTCTCTGTTTTCTCCGATTAAGCTTCACAACTGAAGTTTCTCATCCTTGGAATTGTGCTTATGAATCTTACCTGCATTCTGTCTGATGTCTTCACATTCCTTAAAGTGCAGCATCCAGAACCGGACACAATGCTACAGCCATGGCCAAACTAGTCACTTTTACAAGTTGAGCTCTATGGCCCTGTTAAGTCAAACATTCATGCCAAAATCTTCAAACATTGTTTTTCTGTCTACAGATGCTGTCTGACTAAAGCATTGCCAACATTGTTTTTTGTTTCATATTTCCAGCATCTTAATTTTGCAGCAACCTCCATAATATTGTTTAAACAAAGTGTTTATTTGCTTTGCTTTCAACACATAGGGAGAGAAATTGCAGGGTTGGTGGCATAAAGCTACATTCTGTTCACTGGCTAACCTGCTAAATGATCAAAATGTTTTACATCATAAATGTTATTAAGTAAATTTCTCCTTGTTAAACTGCAGTCTGCTGTCAAGACGCAACCGATGCAATATTTACAACTCTTTGCGTTTAGAAATAGCATGGGAGCATTACCAAGCAAGATACTGATACTGACACCCAAAAGCTTAGTCAAAGATCTAAGGTTAAAGGAGAAAAAGGACTGTAGAAAAGCACAAAGATTTATGGAGCGAATTCCAGAATCTGGGCCTTGGTTAATTGAAGCCACAGTCATCGTGCAGCAAATAAAATCCAGGATATGCAAGTGGTCAGAATTAAGAGTAGAACTTTCTTTAATTTGTGTAGGGTTGGAAAAGGTTTAGACATAGGGTGAGGCAAGACCATGGAGAAATTGGGAAACAAATTTATAAATGTTAAAATCCATGCTGGAAAGAAATAGACTCTCACTTCAGGCAAGTGTTAGAATGATCTACTGTTAGCTGGGAAAAATTGTGATCCATGTGTGCAAGAGAGAATAAGCAAAAGAGAGAGTGCACAAAATCTTTGGAAATTGACTGAAAATCCAATGAATGGCTGACTTTGTGATTTATTTTGAATGTAAATTATGGGTCACCAGGTATCGCTTGTTGTTTTCAATCATTTAGGTGCTTTATTATTATGATAAAGCCAGTCATCTGGAAGTATTCCTGATGATCACTCAATTTCATTTTAAGAGTATTAAGTTGAAAGTGTTATATATGGTGTAGGACAGTTTGCACAAAACTACATGTGGTCACAAAGCAAGTGATTTAGACAAAATACTTGTCTATCAGCACTTTGTACAGTTTACATTATTGTTGAATTGTTTAACTTCTAGAAGAGGGACATAAAAGTAGTTGATCAGAATTTTCAGGATCTAAATTAGTCAAGAGGACCAGCACTATATTATAAATAGGCAAAATCAATGTTGCATTTTCCTGCCAATTCCTTCATCAGTTGTTGCAGTGACATCCTGTAAGGAGAAATCCCCTCTCTCCCTCCACCCAAAAATTTGATGGTTTAAATTTGGTATATGTGGAGACAATTGAGGAGGTCCAAAGATGTAATTAACTATTCTGATATTAATCACCAAATAAGTTAACTTAAGCTGGATAAAGTAAATCAGAAATAGTACTATTTATTCAAACCATCAATGCAGATTAAGGGAGGGAAAGGAAAACATAAATCCACTAATCACACTGATAATGAGTGAAATTGTGGTTTAAAATCAGTTTATTTTCTTACAGAACATTTCACAGTCTCCAAATCAATGGTTCAAATATATGGCTGGTTACAGAAAAGCATACTGTACTAGATCAACAACATTGCACATCTGAACAACCAGTATAATTATGAAAGGACAGTTTCCATCCATGACCACCTCAGCATTGCAGCATTTGTGCACCTTTTGTACTTTTATATTGACCTTAACATCAGAATAAATGCTAGTTATATTAATTATAAACTGTTGGTAATTATTTCACTTTAAACTTGCAAAATATTAATGCAGAATTGCTATCAATTATCTGTGTTAAATCAATAAAAGAATGTTATTTCTCCATTGATGCCAAGTTTACAAATGGTGCATTAAATAGGCCAAGGTAAAATCTAGAGACTGTACATATTACCTTTTGCAAAATCCTAAAAACAAGCTGTTTATTAGGGTATATATTATTAAAGTGGTCATTGTATGATAATATTAAAACCTATAAACAAAGATAATAAAATTGTAACTTGGCCTCTTATAAAAAGCCTTGGCCATATTTAATTACCCCCGTTCTGAAAACTGTAATAAAAATATTAAGTGTCTGCATTGTGATGATTCAAGGGTCAATCAAATTTTCCATGCTAATTCAATTTTGTACAGTAGAGTCAGTTATAATTGACTAAAAACACATGCTTTTCATTAGTTGTTTAAAGAAATTTGCAAGTTTAAGTTTACTTGCAAATGTGCATTGGAGAAAGGAGAAGATAAATAGTGATAAACTATTAGAAAGTTTGAAACAATGCAACAACAGCAAGAATCATCAGTGACAGAACATTGAGTGCATGGTTTCTGATGCTATAAAGAATGATTATACAAATAACATTAGATAATATCAAATTCAGAAGGTCAACTGTTTCTAAATATTATACTGATCTTGTTCCTGTCACAAGTAGATTATTTTATTAGGATTTTTCTCTGCGTCAGAACTATAAAATACTGAGGTTCAACAAGCCACAGTACAAGAAATGTGACCAGGAAGGAACAGAAATAATGATGACCCAAGAAAGAATTCTTCTGCGTGGTGTGTGCATACACTGTAGCTCTTCTAAAGCCTAGGAATCTCATCCAGAAGGGGACAGGCAGCAGGACAATTAGATAAAGAAGCTACAGAGGGAAATTAAAGAAAGAATATTGGTTAAACAGATTGCAGATGGAGGGAGAAAATGAGTGGAAAAGAGCCTAATAAATGATCATGTATATGCCAGAACCTGGGATGAAACTGGGAAAATCACCCAAGTGAAATATCTTGGAAAAAAAAGGTAAGTAAGGGAAATCACATCTACCAATTAATCATCCTTGCAATGAAGACTCTTAAAAGTGTAGTTGCACTAGTGCTAGCTATCACCTGATTACATGGCCAACTTCGACTGTAAATTTATACAGTGTGCATCAGCAGAATATCATCTGCAGCAGACAACACAGTAGGACCCAACCCTCGTCTCCACCTGCCAGCATTTGCACTTTCCAGCAGGAATCTGTATACTGATCATGGGCTGGAATATCTGGCTGAGATTTCCCCTTCCTAACAATAAATGCATAGTCTCTACTACAATCCCAATGGCATAATTATGAAGCAGGCAATTCAATTATCCACAGCCATTTGAAGCTAATTCCTTTTGAAATAGAAAAACCCACAAATTTGTACTTTTCCCTAATACATTCTTACCACAAACTGGACTCTTCAACAGTTCCCCCCTTTTGAAGAAAACATCCCTTCTCAACCATACAGGATACTGTACGCAGCGAAAATGATGATTATAATAAATATTCAATTCCTAATTTCACAGTCAAAAGCATTAAGCGCATGTACTGGTTTACAAAAACAGTAAATTGACAAGGCTTTTTGCAAGCACGCCCATGTGGCCACGTACAACAAACAATGCACTGACTGAACAAGAAGAAAGGATGAGTTTGCACTGAAATGTTAGACCACACAACAAAAAAATTCCATTTAAAAAATACACATGAACACTATGAATGTACTCAAGATGTGGGGTATTTAGATTCTGGCCCCCTACTATTGGGAGCTAATTACAATAGTGTTACATGAACTTGTGGTTGTCTTACTACTGTGATATTTTAATGGAACAGAAAAACATTTAACCAGACACCACACAGGTCATACAAAACATCCATTTGAATAACATGTATCAGTGCTGGCACCATTATATTTATATGTGCTCTATTCAAGAGAGTGTGGATAAACCAATAGCTTAGTATTTTATGATATCATCAGAAAATTAACCATTACTTTATAACCACCTAACAGCAATAAGCAGTTAGCTAAATGCACGTAACTGCAAGCATACTTTTTGAGTTACAAATTGTTTTGAAACATTCAAGGATTTACTAATTCTATTCCCACCCTCCAATATAAATTTACAAGTACAAAGCAGAAGCATAAAAAGGCATAGAAATACATTGTTGTGTTATACATGTTCACATTTTTTTTAAGTAAGATTTCATATAATATAAAAAAGGCTGTCCATCGTACACATATGTATGTAATGGTGCGTCTTGGAGAAATGGCAACAACCATGTTTAGCGACAAGGTGACTAAGGGGCTGCAATTCATACAAAAATGCATAGAAATCACTATGTTCTTAAAAAAAAAACTCACGTTTACTGCATTAAAAGTGGTGGAGCACAATAAATGGAAAAATAAATGTGGCACCTTGGTGAGCAAACTATTTGGCAAAGTAAAAAGCAAAGTAGGATACAAGTGTGCAAGAGGCAGCTGCTGGAACACTTCCGTGGTGAAATCAGACAGTAAACTGGCCGAGAGGTATTCTGCCATTATAATGGGTCAGATCAGAGGCCAGGGCAACCAATCTTTTGGCTATATATTTATTGCCAAGAATACAAAAGTTCCAACTGCCATACTTACATGCATAGGTGAAAGTGCAATCCAACTAGATTTTGTGGGATATTAGTTATTCCGTGCAGAGCCAAGGATTACTGTGAAAACAAGGTAAAAGACATACGAAACAAAATAAAACTGCTGCTAGGGTAATCAGCTCAACATGGCCCAGGAAAGATGTGCAGTTAAAAGCATGTCCTCAAGATTACAGGTTAAGGGCTGTTATCAAAACTTTGATGACCATAAAGTCTTCAATTTATAAAATTACATTTATTGAATCGATTGGTCCTTTGATCCCCATCACCACTCCTTCCTATCAATTAAAACAGGAGTCACTGCTGTACTTAGTTGGGGGAGGATTAGAATAAGATCATCACTTTTAAACAAATTTGAGAATGAATTCTCAACTGTCACTGGGGAGGGACAACTGCTGCAGATATTCTCCCTCCTGGTTTGCATAATCTATCCCCATTAGCACATGCAATGCCCAGCTAGGAACTGGCATTGGGCAATCCTACCCAACAGAGACAAACTGATAGACAAGTTGTTAACGAATGTGAATTGGACAGCTACTAAGTTAAACACAGTACTGTTGATATTCAGTAATATGTTAACATTATACGGCTATTGTCACTATTGAAGTTGAGATTCAAAGAAAGGCGAGATACTAATACTTAATGCTCAGATGAGCATTCAGCTTCGAGGAAATATGAATTTTAGTTATAACAAATATCAGTTTCACTGCCAACTCCCAGTAAAAATATTTTTATGATTTGGCTTTGTGATTTAAAATTGCTCTGTAATTAAATAAGTGACAAATTTTATTCACTTGGAGCCGACTGATAAATTTTCCGAGTGTTAATGTGCAAAGTTTTAAAATAATAGATATGCAGTAAACTGCAGTTGCGATTGAAACAGAAATGCTGAAGGTTTAATGTAAGTTGATGTTAAGGCTTCTTGTGCACATGTCAAGATGGATAAGAACACCTCTTTCCTGAGCCATGTTTAGTTAGCAATCAAAATTGAAACCTGCCATCGAAAGGTTTGAAGCTGTGTATCTCTGCTAGTAACATTGGTCCTGGTTTTAAAATAGATGGGTATGTTGTAAACACGAGGAGATACTACCAAGCCAGAAGAGAGCAGAGACAAATCCACAACAGACAAGGAACAATAATTAATTTCTCTTTGGAAAGGCATCAAAAAGAGAATCTATCTCAGGGTGAACAGCACAAAATAAAGGGTTAAAAGGACCAAGTTTGACCTGCGCATTTAGCATATTTTAAGAGCAAGGACAGATATTAATTCCACATTGTTAATAACAACAGAAACACATTATGGAACTATGATGGTAGCATTACACAAAGGAAAGTATAAAAAGAGCACTATCCATAACCCATGAAATTGCAATTTATCTCTTTCAGATTTGATTTCTGCAAGACTTCTAAATGGAAAAGGTGTTAGAAAAGTCGTTATGATATCCTGATATGTAATCCTTTCTCACACCTACACGGCTGATCACTTTCCTCTTTGTAATAATAGTCCTATTATTCTAGCTACAGTTTCCATTTTCAAAGAGACATCCATTGCTTCTCACTGCCCCCTTCAAATACCAGTTTTGTTTCAGTTTTAAGTTGTGCCCCTTCTCCATTTCATGGAATGCTTTTGAAAGGATTTTCCTATATGAAAAGATACTTGTTAATGTTCTGTCAATTTTTAAAAAAATGGATGGGCATTCTGATGCCAGACACGTTACAGCTAAGCAGATGGATAGGGTGACATCCGTGACTTGCCAGAGTTGCTTATGTGAAGCTTGCACTGCAATTAAAAAGGGGAAAAAAAAATAAAACATACAATTAGAAATTATACCTCATAAATAAACTAATTTGTTGCATTCCAATACAGTACAATAAGCAATGATTAAGAAACAAACCATTTTAATAAACAGCTACATTTAATTACAACTGCAAATAAGTAACTCATGCATTATAGCAAATTATATATGCGTTTCAAAGAAAAACAAACATTCACAAAGCACAGGCATTTGAGAGAAAAATTGTACATTACACACCCAAACCAAAATTCATGGAAGAATGGAGTCATCAAATAAACTGCCTCGCAATATACCCTCCCCAAAGTTATTATTTAGACCAATTAAAATAGCCTCTAGGAGTTGGAAATTTAACTTAACATACAATTCCATGCATTGAGTTTCCATATTATATTTGCGAGGCATAGCATTTTCAAAGTGATTATGAAATGCAATGCAAAATTTTTCAACATTTAACCCACTTCCTCGGAGAACAAACCACAATTTCTCTACTCTCATTATCCCAAACTTTGATGTGAAATACTGTTTGATGGTTCAATCTAACAGTAGAAATTCAAAGCATTGGTCTCTTTCATTACTTTAAGTTCAACTACTTCCACACACTTCCCATCAACTTCAGTTCCTTATTAGTATGCTGCACCACTGAAAAGCAAAGTCCTGCATTCTGTGATGGTATAAGTTTAGCTATGTAACCACTGTTCTGCTGAGCTACAATATGAGTAGATATAAAGCTGCATTATCCATCAGGAGAACCCTGACTAGTGACAGTTCATCTGTGCAGGATTTGTTATGACAAACCTAAGAATTCTTAATATGGAGTATAAAATCCATTAACATCTTAGTGGACAGCAAAGAGTTGAAGTTTAAGATGGTCATTGTTACTTATAAAGCAAAATAAATGAAAACCATGATCCTGAATTTTCATGTGGCTTCCATCACGTACGTACCATTTTGTTGGGAGTGCACCACAATGCAGATTAGCCACAATTTAATTGAATGGCAGATTTGATGGCAAAATGGCTTATTTCTCTTTAAATATGCCCATGTCAGAGATGGGTGCTGAAAAAGCCTGGGTGATTTACCCTTTATGCTTCAGATTAAATCACAGTCTGGATATGAAATTCAGTCTGAATTTTAAGCCTGATCTCAAAATGCTTTCAATAAACTAGAAGAGGTTTTGGAACTCTTCAGAAGAGAAGAGGTGTCAATCATGACAATAAGGAACATCTTAGGGATAACTATTGATAGGAAAAATAAAGTCAGAATTAGAATGAATAGTCTATTACTTGACTTCAATCTTATAACTTGCCCTTTTTTATGGGAGGAATGTTTGTATTATGTCATGCAATAGAGAAACAGTAGATATCCAAAACATTTTCTCTGCTTCAGTATTCAAAAATTGAAGCTGCTGACATTCCCTTGAAAGTGAGGGTTTTCTTTTGAGAATGGGAAGGAAACAATGGGAATAATAATCAGTACCAGTGAGGACATGATGAGAACATTAAAAATAAATGAAAATTAAGGTGCTTAGCCCTCCACACAAATGATCAATAACAATGAAAGGGATTTTAAAAGATTCATCAGAATTTCGAGTTGGAGTGAAAAGAACATTAAACTTGCATTTTACAAAGAAGAGCAAAAGGAATGTCCTGGTAACTACAGGCTAGTGAGATGCACATCGATCAGTCATGAGTAAATTATGAGAGATACTCCTTAAGAAAGATATTTTGAAGAACAACAGGAATATAAGCTCTTTAGAACAAGTCAGTGTGGCTTTATTGGGGTAAATGGCATGCTTGACAAAGCTGTTTGAACTTGAGGGGTGGTACTGGAGCTTATGAAACTCCACTGAAATTCTTTACAGTATCACATTAAAGTTTAACCTGTAAATTGGCAAAACATGATGTAGCAAAGGAGACAGAATGATCAACACAGTGTTATGCTGGAGTTGTATAAAGTGACCAGTGAGGTACCCCAAGGTCAACATGGGAATCTTATTCATGTTGTAGAGCATATCAATGATTCGAAAATGGGGATAGGGACAAAGTTATCTCAATGGAACTAAAATTGCAAGAAGGCTGCAAATAAATTAACAGCAAGCTGATCAGGCACAAAAGGGAACTAACTAAAATAGGCTGAGAAATAATAAATGAAATTTAATGTCAACTGATGTAGTGTTGAGACCACCACAGAAAATTCTATGTTAGACTACAAATTAATAGTTCACTGGATATAGAACAAGATTTGGGAATACCAGTGGACACTTAGGGTGCAGTGATAAATAGGATCTGTGTCATATAAGACATAAAATAAAACAAAAAGCATAGGAAATGACAATGACTCATATAACAATGATTTATCTCGATCCGGAGTAGTACGTGCTGTTCTAGTTGCCTTATGATAGGAAGGAAATCATAACATAGAGCTATTTATCTGAAATTTCAACTACAAGAAGTTAATTATGCTCACACACCAAGAGGGAATCTTACTGATGTATTCAAAATCAATCCCTTCTGGTTTTTAACGAGTTGAACTCCGAAATATTTTTTCCCTGGTTTTAAAATGACTGAAGCCCAGATGAGAAGGTGAATGTAAACATCAAATGTAACTATTTCCCACTGAATGATGAAGTTTACAATGGACTTCCCAGTGAGACAACAGAAATTGCAAACCACAGTAATTTTAAAGCAAATGTAGAATTGATATTTCGCACAAGAAAAAAATCAGGGATACATACGTATATATGTTCAACTCTGGGATGGCCATCTGAACCAACACTTTTTCACCCATATTTACATGTTTCTAAATCATTCATCTTGGACCATTATTATGGTACTGCTGATCTTAATCAGTAGACAAACTTTGATACGATCCCTTATTTGGCACAAAATTAACTAGTAACTGCTGGAAGCTGCGCACACATTATAAAATAGCTTGAATGTACTCATAAGACAAAAACATATGGAGCTGTGCAAAAGATCATATTTGACAATTCTGCTTAATCAATGCAGAGTCAGCAATAAACCATAGCATTAGTGATTGAAAAGTTACGTTAATGATATAGACATGCAAATAGTAAAATCATGAAAGTAGCACAAACAATGGAGTAATTGTTAAGTGCACACAATATGGAATAATACCGTTGTAAGGACCTTCTGTTAGAAGTGTGAGGGGAGAGGGTGGGGGCAGTCGAAGAAGAATCACCTGTAGAGACTGTACCCCACAACTCTTCATCTGGTATTGCCCCAATATATCAGAGACAGGAAACACAACTTTCCTGTCACTGACTTTTCCCCTCGAATAACCTTGATGTGAAAGGTATAATGATATTGAAGATTTATCAGAGAATACTTATTCCTGTGATTGGAAAGTGCATAAACTAGACTATTATTTCTTACAAAATCACTTGTTACAAACATTTTTCATAAAAAGAAGCCACATGGAAATAATTCAAAAGTATTTCCTTATCTTTCCATTACTACAAAATAATCCTATTTAGCATGTCAGGCTACATGTTTGGGACTCTAGTAGGGCAGCAGTAACTGAAATTCAAAAATAATTTGAAATATTGTTTATAGATAAATTTCAGCAAGTAGCTAAGCAACATTTCCTCCTTCAATTTAATAACGACAGATGAAAATCTGCTTTTACAACAGGCGTCTTAACCAGAACATCAAATGGCATATTCAGTAACACTTTAATTAACTACTGCTAAGTAATAGTCAATACATTGTGTTCTGTTTATGATCAAGGTCATTACATAAGAACACGAGAGACAGGAGCACGAGTAGACTGTATAACCCATTCAGCCTGCTCCACCATACAATACAAACTTGGCTGATCTTGGTCTTCAACTTGGCTTTCCCACCCATTCCCAATATTCCTTGATTACTTGCCAGATCAAAATATGTCTATCTCATGCTTAAATCTGTTTAATTGTTGGCCCATCCACAACCCTCTGTGGTAGAGTCCAATATTTCATAACACTGAGTGAAATTTTTTCCTTATCTCAGTCCTCAAACATAGAACAGCCCTTATCCTGAAACGGTGCCCGTGCTCTGGATTACCCTTCTAGCAGAAACAACCTCTGTCTACCCTGCAAAGCCCCTACAGATTTTTCAACGTGATCACCTTTCATTCTTCAAAATATCAGAGAATATAGGTCCAAAATACTCAGCTCCTCACCATAGGACAACTCCCTCATCCCTGAGACCAAACTGGTGAACCTTTGTACTGCTTCCAATGTAAATATATCCTTCCTTAAAATATGAAGACGAAAACTGCAAACAGTACTTCAGGCGTGAGCTCACCAAAGCCCTGTACTGGCTAATATGCTGTCTGCCTTCTTGTTTGCTTGCTTGCTTGCTGCACTTACATGCTAACTTGGACTTCCTCATACAATCACACTTAAATCTCCAGGAATATCAACATTTACAACTTTGTCACCTTTTGAAAAAGATATTCTTTTTTCTATTACCATGATATCTTTTGACCAAAGTTTCCTGGGCTGGATCAGAACAGCAGAGAATGAATTAAACCACACAATGTATACTTGCATATGGCTTATGTATAAGACAGGTAAAAGGGGCCAATGTTATAGGGATCTGAGCGATGTAGAGTACGAAAAATTTGTGGTAAAATTGGATGAGAAATCCAGCAAGGTCTCTCTATGTCATGAGCACCTCGCTCATGTCTCTCATGTTTCTGATGAGCGACATGGTGAGTTCCTCACGAGGCACAGCAGAGTTGTCCATTAAAGGTGATTACTGCTTGTTAAATGCTTTATTAATGCCACAACTCATCTCATTAATATTCAGCTTCCTATCTTACCAAACACACCAAACAGGTTTGGTATTGAGAAATCTCAACATGGAAGTCAAAGCAACTGCCTAGCAACTTCAGCTCACCGCTGAGTGTGACCAGCCTCCACACTGCTCAGCAACAAGCAGCATCTCAGGGCACGATCCACAGGCATCAGACAGGCGTGGCCCTTGTCCACGGACACTGGCATCCAATATTTGTTTTCACAACTATCATGGCACCTCTCTAATCCACTTTCAGGACACTTAGGAAGCAGTGACCTGCAGTGAAAGGCTGCAGCAATTTCTCAGAGCAGCTCACTTCCCCCCTCAGTGCCACCCATACCTTGCCTTGCTGTCACAATTAGTGCAGTGACACAACCAGGCAGCTTGCCTTCCTGTTCAGCAATCTTCAATCAAGGGGGCATATATTTGCTGTAAGACAGTGTACTTTGTCAATCTCACACCTTGAAATATAGAAAATAGGAGGAGGCCATTCAATATGATCATGGCTGATCATTCAACTCAGTACCCTGTTCCTGCTTTCTCCCAACAGTCTTTGATTTCTTTAGCCTCTTGGCAATGCCCTATCTCCATGTGAGGAAGGGGCATCTGGAGTGCATGCCACATTCTGTGCCCCCTGTCACTGTGCATCCAATGGCAGGTGTGCGCCCCTCTTCAGCAGATCACATGACTCACTGTAACTTCAGGACGATGAAGGCCACTGCCTCCCACATTCCTGTCTGCTACATGTGGGTGAAGTACCAAACTGCCAACACCGTGGGGGTCCTCTCCTGCCTGGTATCTGTCAGTCCTCCAAGTGCTGGCAGCCTGGGGCATTTCTTATTCAGGCAGCTCTGGAACTGTCACAGTGAGGTCCTCACAGATCCTATATTCTCAAACCTAATGTTCCCACCAAGGCCTCGTGGGAGCTGGTGGCCAGTGCAGAAGGCAGCCTTGCCGAGGCCTCAGAACTCCTGTCATCAGAGCTCGAGAAAGTGGTGTCAGGGGAGCCAGGCGTTACACCTGGAAGTGGAGGAGAAGACGGCAACATCTGCAAGACAAAAAGAGAGATGGTGGTGTGGCCAGTGGTTAGAAAAGAGGATGAAACAAATGACAGTGACAGTGGGGTTAATGTCAGAATTGCAATGAAATGAAGAATGGGACTTACTCGATTGGTGAGAAATGGATGTCTCAACATCTCCAAAGGAGTGGTCCTAGTCTTCTCCAAGGAGGGCCACGATTCTCTTCTTGGCAGGGCTAAGCAGTCCAATTCCGGGCACTCCTCCATCAATCTGGACCCCTTTCTCCACCTGTAGTGAGAGAAAGGGAGGGATTGAGTGAGGTGAAAGCGGCTGGCATGGTGTTAGTGCTGGCAGTGTAAAGGTGGTAATGTGTCCTGGGGGCACCGAGTAAGCAGTACAGAGCCCATGCATGGTCACTGGTGTGGGAAGTAGGGATAGGAATGAAAGCAAATGAGGCAAGGTGTTACAGACAACACAGAGCGGTAGAGCACGAGCCTTGATGGCAGGGGTATGCAGTAGCAGAGATAAGCGTGAGAGAGAGGTAGCAGAGAGTAGATGTTGGCACTTACCCTGGCAGTGCGGAGTAAGTCATTATTCTTATTCTGACATTGCTCCCCACTGTTCCTGGTGATGACCTCAGACTGGGCCTGTTCTGCTAGTCATCTGAGAACAGGGCTCCTCTCCTTTGCATCACCCCCTCCAGAATCACGGCACCAACTTCCCCTTCTCCATCACACTCAGTCACTGTCCTTGACCGAGCAGGGCAGCTTTGGAATGCCGGTCCCCATTTGGGCACACAACAGCCTTTTAAAGTCGGTGTAGCCTTTCAGCAGGTATCTGCTCAGCAGCGAGTTCTTCTAGCAAAAATGTTAAAATGGGGCTGGAATCAGACGTGAGAGACGCCGTAGGAGAGAGCAGGTAGTTGATCAGGCGAGTTTGGCAAGATACAGTGAGAAAACACTTCAGGCCCCTCGGCAAGAATCCCTCCAAAAAACTCAATAGAACTCAATTAGCCAAAATAGTGTAAGATTCAGCCCAAAGAGTTGGGTTGCAGATCACTCTAATCTTAATGAATGGTGGACATTACAGTGTTGAGAGACTAAAAGATCTTCTCCAAATCCTATACCTAATACAGATACAGGTCAATGGTGATATCAAGTAAGAGGAGATCTGGTTGACACTAATTCAGTCTCTCAACGTTTTATTATTCGCAAACTGGCTTTTATAATTAGCAGGCAGCATTTCCCTTTCAAAATTAGTAAAAAGGCAGTTTCCATGGAATTAAAATGAAAATTTCAGCTTGAAGTCAACACCGCAAACACTAAATTAATTAGCTCCACAAAAATCACAGACAGGTTTGAAATATATATTGCTAATTCCAAAGCTTCCCCTTTTTCTTGTCTAAGATAGCTGGGAACTGATCCAGCATATTTTGTCTGAAATGCATCCTTTCTACCTCTCGGGCTGATCAGATGCAGTTTTCCCAACACAGCAGGGTGTATTTATCTCAAATTAACAATTCACCAGCTTCAAGCACAAAGTAAGGTGCAAACATTAATAATTAAGGACCTTAAACAACTAATTTGAGATTTTTTTGTTCTGATTTTTCTTTTATGTTGTCAGTCTTTTCTGCCATTCTTGTTTCCCAGGATTAGACCATGGACTTCTACCGGATTGGTCCGTGCTTATGGGCAAAATATTGCAGTGGTTTGCCATTACCAAGGCCACCCAGGAAACTGCTTTTTATTCATTCAGGGGATATGGACGTCACTGAATAGACCAAAATTTAATGCCCATCCCTACTTGCCCTAAAGGTGGTGGTGATGCACTTCCCGCTGCAATCTATTTGGCGTAGGTAAACCCACAATGCCATTAGGGATTGAATTCCAGGATTTTGTCCTAGCAACACTGCAGGAAGGGCAATAGTTTTCCAAGCCAGGATGGCGAGTGGCTTGGAGGGGAACTTGCAGTTGGCAGTATTCCCATGTATCTGCTGTCTTTGTCCTTCCAGATGGAAATGGTAGTGGGTTTGGAAGGTGCTAAGGAGTCTTGGTGATTTTCAGCACTGCATCTTTTTAGATGGTACATTTTGCTGCTACTGAGCATGAGTGGTGAAAGGGATGAATGGTTATGTATGTGTTGGCAATCAAGCTGGCTGTCAGATGGCCTGAAGCTGAAGTGTTTTTGGAGCTGCATTCATTCAGGAAAGTGAGGAATATTCCATCAAATTCCTGACTTGGGTCCTGTAGATGGTGGACAGGTTTTGGGGAGTCAGGTGGTGAATTATTTGCTGTAGGATTCCTAGCCTCTGCTCTGCTCTTGTCACCACAGTATTTGGCTATTCCAGTTTCTGGTCAATGGTAACTCCAGGATGCTCACAGTGAGGGATTCAGTGTCAAGGGATGATGGTTAGCTTCTCTCTTCTTGGAGGCAGTCATTGCCTGGCACTTGTCAGGCAAACCTGGATATTATCCTGGTCTTGCTGCATTTGGACAGGGGCTGCCTCAGTATCTGAGGAGTTTCAAATGGACTGCACAGTGTTCAGCTCCATCAGCAAGAAACCTCATTTCTGAGCATTTGAGGGGGTGGAGATGCTTATCATTCACCGTTAGAAAATCCCTCCCATGGAAAATTGCCTATCTGATAATATTCCTGTTTGGCCTCATCGCAAACATATCTTCCATGTCTAACAAGTCCTGGTATGGGATATGAACTCAAGAGTTTTCATTAAATAAACCCTGATTTTCGAAAAAGAGCCGGTGTCAATAATGATGAACATGAAACCTGATGTGCTTACCCAGTTTGTCCGGTTTGTGACTTCAGACGCACAGCAAAGGGGTGGATGCTGAACTACAACCTGTATTAGCCTAGTACGCCAGTCAGTTGTTTTAAAACTGCTGCAAAGTCAAAAGGATATAAATCCCGGCCAACACTGACAATCTCTTGTCAGTGTTTTAGGCAGCAAAAACAATAAAAACACACGCTCTCAAACAGACCGCTCAAAGTCCTGCTCACTAATATTTTTTGATCTTGTGCCAAAATTGGGAGAATTGTTCCACAGACTTATCAAGCAGAAGCCAGATACGGTCATATTCACAGATACATTGCATGCAGCCAATGTTCTGGAATTTATTACTAACATACTAGGGTATGTCCTGCAGTGACAAGCAGTACAGTGTCAGAGGCAGTATGTCTTGGGTGCCCTTAACATTGTTTCTGAATAAGCGTCACTATATCAGGCCAAGGATGCAACAGAACCTTTTACTAAAGAACACCTACTCCCCTCCCTCAGTTAACGAGCCTGAATACTTGCATGTTGGAAGAAGCACGGAAGGTGGGAGGTACACTGAACGTTCTCTCAACATGTCTATTACCAAGAGTGGTACTACAAATAGAGTCTCACTGGACTGGTCTGTGACAGATGGGGAGGGAACCTTTTTTTATAATTCATCCCTTAGGTGTAGGCATTGCTGGCTAGACAGCATTCATTGTCTATCCCTTACTGACCTACAGAGAAGGTGGTGCTCAGCTGCCTTCTTAAACCACTACCTGTAGTGCTTGGAATGTAGGGACACCTACACAGTGCTGATAGGAAGGGAATTACAGGATTTTGAGCCAGCAAGTGAAGGAATGGTGATATATTTCTAAGTCAGGTTAGTGAGAGACTTGGAGGGGGTCTTGCTGGTGGTGGTGTTTCCTTGTATTTGCTGCCCCTACCTTTCTAGGTGACACAGGTTGCGGGTTTAGACCTCATCATCACAAATCTACCTGTAAATGATGCATATGTCCATGATGTTGTTGTTGAAATGACTACTGTGTCAGGAAACAAATGTCTCACCTTCACAATGAAGATGCCCTCTATTTGTTTATGGTGCCTATGGATCATGCTAAATAAGATAGATCCAGACCAGATGTAGCAGCTCAAAACTACCATCCATGAGATGCTGTGTGCCATCAATTGTAACTTTTTCTGGCATATCCCCACTCTGCCATTACCATCTGGCTAAGGGATCAACCATGGTTCAGTGAAGATTGCAAGAATGTAAGACAGGAATAGCACCAGGGATAGCTAAAAATAAGGTGGCAATCTGGTGAAGCTACAACAACACAGGCTCATATCGATACCAAACAGAAGCAGCATGGGATAGGCAGGACTTAAGATCCCATGTCAAAATGGACTGAATCAAAGTTTTACAGGGCTACTACATCCAATCATTATAGTGAGCAACTGAACAATTAGCAGGGGAAGGAGGCTGCGTAAACAATCAGATTGTTAGTACAAAAAAACAAAAGCTGAGTTGTTTGCAACCATCTTCAGCCAGAACTGCTGAGTGGATGAATGCAGCCCTGACACACTTAAAAGAAACTAGTCACCCTCCAGAACAAGGCAACGAGTTTGACTCCCACCCCGTCCACCTCTTCCATCATTTATTCCCTCCACCACCTATGCACAGTGGCAACAGTATATACCACCTACAAAAATGCACTTCAGAAATTTGCTACAGCTTCTTCAACATTAATTGCCAAATCTGTGACCTCTACCACCTAAACGACAAATTCAGTAGGCACAATGGAGCAGACAATCTGCAAGTTCCCTTCCCATACTATCCTGACTGGGAACTACAATGCCATTCCTTCACTGTCGCTGGGCCAAAAATCTGAAACTCTCTTCCTATACAACACAAGGACTCAGTAATACAAGAAGATGACTCACCGCCATCTTCTCAAGGTGAATTAGAGATAAACAATAAATGTCAGTCCTTACCTGACATCTACACAAGCTGTCAATACCATCCTGGCTGAGACCTGCTCATGTCTAAAGAAGATAAGGACATGAAAGGACTGAATGACTAAACCTCTTAGCTCTGTAGGGCTCAGTGCCACGGTTAGGAGCTGCATTTATTCCCAAGTTCTAATGAGAAGCTTTTACCAAGTCCCAACAAGGAATGCAATAATGTTGCTGAAGCTTGGCCAGCTTAGGGTCAGGTTTGTGCATGAAATAATACGTTCACAATTGAATTCTAATTGCAAGTCAGGTATCATTCCCCATTTGAATTCTAAATGGTAGCCATGCTTTTAGGTAACGTCAAGTAGAGGGAAAGATTTTGTACAAGTTTTACCTGGCTGTCACCATGTGGCTAGGACTGCAGCCTAGATTATTCACTTACCAACTTTGCTTAGGTGAACAGATTTAGACAAGGGTGAAATAAAAACAGATAAAATGAGTGTAAATTTGTTTCAAAAGTGAATAATTATAAAAATATACCTATTAAAATACATTGGACTTCTACAAATAAACAGGTTGCTGTAAAAACCAAGTAGGAATGAGCAAAAAAAAAATCAGCTGCAAAGCTCCCCACTCCAATGACTACCTTTACTGAAATGGTTCAGTTCATAGCAGTAAAACTAGTCTACTAGTCGTCAGTGGGATAGATCTTTGCTTTGCACAATAGCATAAAACAGGTGTTAGTGAACTAGCAGACTGAGTTACAATCAAATTTTCAATCAATCAAAATCAGGAAGATACAAGACCCCCTGGTGACTTGCTATAATCTGATCTATATTATTCTACAGTCAAGATCCAAGCCAAAAATGTCAGAACATAAGCATTTGTAAAAGAATTACTCTCTACACTTACGTTCACCTCATTCTTGACCAAAAATATTGAAATAATTTTCCCATAATCTAATACTACAGTCAACCGTAGGAAGGATCTGATACACTGGCAGTGATGACCACACAAAAACAGATACAACCTCTTCTGAAAATTCCCATCAGCACAACAGACAATTGAAACCAATCCAAGATATAATGGAATTCTACTAAGACATACACTCTAAAATCACACAATCTTTATGCAGGGTTATGTAAACTAAATTAAGACTATATTTTGCAAACTTCTCAAATTAATTCTCAATGCATAAAAGGAACCTAAACCATTCAAGTAAACAGGGATCCACAAATCAAGCTCTGCTGAGTTCACTAACTGTAGCTTATTACATTCATCTACTTTCATCATTTAGAAATAGCCGTTCATCAAAAATATTTCTTGAATGTTACATATGTGTATAGGCCTTCCTGGTAGAAATGTTACTACATATAATCTCATGAATAAGCATCATCGTTTCTAACCATTTAATACCCAAACGTCGCTTTTCTTTCCTTTCTCGTCCTTCCTCGTGAACATTAAAATCAGATCAGGAGATCGCTGGAGAAAGATATATTTATGAAAGGAAAAGAGAACATTAAAAATATATTGAAAATGAACATACTTCTTCTTATCCTTGTCCTTCTTGGTGGTCTGGGAAGCTTGTTGAGCCTGTGATTGGAGCAGCTGAGTCGCTGCTTTCCTCTTGTTGAATGCATTCATTTCTTCCTCGAGATCTTTCTTCTTATCTTCAAGTTTCTTCTTCTCATCTTGATGGGTCTTCTTCAGGTGATCAAACTTTTCGTGAAGCTGAGAACACACAATACACCACTCAGTTCCAACACAGGTCTACCTCACTCTTCCAACCAAGCAAATGAACATATGTGACAATGCAGAATCGCCCTCATCCCAAGTCTGGAGTTGTAAAAAGTTGGTAGCTATTAGGTTTACCTCTTTTCCAAAAAAAAAAATCAGGTTTTCTTTCTTTGGCTCCTGAAAGAGGCATTTCATGATAATAGCATGAACCCACAGGTGTTGAGCACTCCTCATCCAAGCAGACCTTCTCTCCCTGTAAACTAGGCAGTGACTGCCTGCAGGTGAAATGACCTCGGTGGATGAGGCATCACATTTGAAGGATATCTTGTTTCCACAGCAATTACTATCAGATACAGGATAACTTTCAGACACAGGAACATCATAATCTCACTGCCTCCTAACTTGGGGAAGAATACAGATGTTTTGAAACCAGTTTCAGTAATAGTAGCCATAGAACTACTATTGATTGTTGTAAAAATATTTTGATGACCTCTACGGAAGATTAACTAGAACAGTATGGAAGTATACTGTATTAACAGTATGGAAGATTAACTAGAAACTTAATTAGACTAGCCATATAAATGTTGTAGCTGCAAGCAGGTCAGAAGCTGTGAATTATGCAGCAAACAGCTCTCCTCCTGATTCCCAAATCCTGTCCACAAGCACACATCAGGAGTGTGACTGAATACTCTCCACTTACCTGGATGGGTGTAGCTCCAACATCACTCAAGAAACTCAACACCATTCAGGACAAAGCAGCCCACCCGAGAGGCAGTCAATCCTCAAATTCCTAACAACCTGTCCCAGCCAGATAAACTACAACAACCTCCCAAGTGACATGGCCCAAGTACAGAGTGCTAAATCATCCCGTCTCCCCAAAGGACAATATTTTATCTTCAGATAACTGGTCACTAACAGAAATGTGTGATTGGATAACTCTCACAAACCTACCTTCCACTCCATCATTCCCATTCCCATTACATTCCCTGTACTCTTCCCAATCCACTCTCCTCTCCCGTCCCACTTCATCCTCTGCCCGAGTCCTCCTCTCCCTATCTTCCTCTTCCCCCCGGTTTAATACAATTATTCCTTTTGCCCCTTGACCCTTTACAGTGTCCTTGATGGCAATCCCTTGGGTTTAATACTGCAAAGATCAACTCATTTCTAATAAGATTCATAACATGAAGAAAACATTGTCTTGCTTTTCAACCAGTTCCTCACATTAACTGTTGCTAAGTGCCCCTCTTTCAGACAAACCCCTGCAGATTGGAGCTGTACCACAGGAATATGGACTATCTAATATCATTGGGGAGGATTAAGATTGAGAGAAGAGAGGCAGTGTACAGGCTGACTGATTGGGAAATTGTCACTAAGGCAAAGTGTGAAATTTCAATGTACGAGACAAAGATGAAAGTCAGCAGTGTGTTGGGCCTTGCACTCTTAAATTCCCCAGCGCAAGGAAGGAGAATGGGACAATGGCAGTTCACATGGAATCTCAGAAAGAGCAAGGATTGCTCAGCTTTCAGGAGGGTGATGTGGAATGGGGTCAGGGGCTTGGAAGAGTATAAGTGGGATCCAGGTGATGATTGAAGTGGGAAAGGTCTGTGTCCTGCTACGTAGGTATAGCAAGTCTGGACAAAGGAAAACATTAGTGGCCTGAAGGGAGGATTGTCTGTACAAGGGTGATGTCAGTACTATCCAAATGAGTGTTCATTTCAGGCTGGCAAAACCTCAATAGTGCCTTGACCTCGGACCTACAACATTTCAATGATTCTGTCAAAAAGGTGATGAACACTGTCTACATTCAAAGCACAGAAAGGAGGGCCAGCTGGTCCTGTAAGATCAGCCTTGTACCCACTGAGTGGCAAGTAAAACATTGGACACAAGCATGAACATTCAGTAAAGAATAAATAAAAATAAAACACAACTTTGTTTCTTCCATAGAAAAATCCTCAACTCCTTGTAACCATTAAGGTGTGTGTCAGCTAGGAGGTGTGCAAGTACATTTACTTCTCTGATTAAGCTATGCACAACAGATAATGATACACATGTTAATAAAATAAAAATAATGTATTGTGAAATATTTATAAGTGAAATTTACATGTACAAAAATCACTTTGTGCCACCTGTGTGCTCTCAAATCTTATGTTAATGGTAATGGAGTTAGAATCAGAATCCTTACAGAGTGGAAGCAGACCATTCAGCCCAATGAGTCTGCACTGACCCTCCAAAGAGCATCCAACCCAGACCCACTCCCCTATCCTATCCCTGTAGCCCTGCATTTCCCATGGCTAATCCACCCAGCCTGCACAACCCTGGACACTATGGGCAATTTAGTATGGCCAACCCACCTAATCTGCACTTCTTTGACTGTGGGAAGAAACCGTAACACCTGGACAAACCCCATGCAGACAGAGGGAGAATGTGCAAATTTCACACAGGCAGGTGGAACTGAACCCAGGTCCCTTGTGCTGTGAGGCAGCTGTGCTAACCACTGAGCCATCATGCTGTCCCTAAAATTGGCAGAAGTCATGATCCCTCTGGAACTCCATTAATTACAGGATACCATCTTGAAAATGACACCTTTATCCCAATCCTGTGTCTTCTATTAGTTAGCCAACCCTCTATCCATTCTAAATGCCACCACTGACACCATGGGCTGTTATCTCAATAAGGTGCCTTACATGCAATACCTTTCCGAGTGCCTTTTGGAAATCCAAAATACATTAAATTTACCGGTTCCCCTATATCTATCTTGCTTGGTATTTCTTCAAAGCATTCAAATAAATTCATCAAGCATGATTTCCTCCTAATGTGACCATACAGAATCTGCTTGATTATATCTATTTCTGAATGTTCTGCTATTATATTCTTTATGTTAGAGTTTAATGTTTTCCCAACGCAGTTGCTAAGCTAACTGGCCTACTTTTTTGTCCATCTTCTTTTTTGAATAAGGCTGTTGTATTGGCAGTTTTCCTATCCTTTAAAACTTTTCCAGAATCTAAGAATTCTTTAAAGATTACTACCAGTGCATCCACTATCTCCTTTAAATTCCTAGGATGCAACCCATCTAAGTCCAGGGTACTTAATGGCCTTCAGTCCCATTGTTTCCTTTATCTTCTTTCCTAGTGATAGCTATTGTATTTATTTCCTCCCCCATTGATTATTTGGTACTTTTGATATTGTCAACCGTGAAGATTGCTGCAACTCTTCAGCCATTTCCCAAATAACTATTATTATTTCCCAGCATCATTCTCTAAGGGCCTATGTTCACTTCAGTATCACTCTTCCTTCTTACATATTTAAAGAAGCTGTTACTATCTGTTTTTATATTACTTGTTAGTTTACCTGCTCAGTTTATTTTCTCCCTGTTTTAGTTTTTGGTCATCTTTAGCTGGGCTTTTAAAAAACTTTCCTAATGCTCTTGTTCACAACTAATTTTTGCTACTTCACTTGTTTTTTGCTTTCTTAATCAATACCATTCCTAATTTCTTTGGGTAGCCTACGGATGGTTTATCCCCTCCCTGGAATCTTTCTTCCTCACTGGAATGTAAACTTTGATGTGATTTGTGAACTATTTTACGTCTGCCTTGTTTCTAAATTGTCTTTTTTGTTAACCTCCTTCCCAAGTCCACTCCAGCCAACTCTGCAACTATGTAATTATTTTTATTTAAGTTTAGCTCAGCTGTTTCCTACTCACATTTGTCACACTCAAACTAAATGGCGAATTCGCCTGAGGGGATCTTTTACTGTGACCTAATTTATTAAACCCGCCGCATTACACAATCAAATCCAAAACAGCCTGATCCCTGGGTGGATTCACAACATATTGGTTCTAGGAAATACCCAAATACACTCGATAACTTCTTCTTCTGGCTGCCTCTGCCAAATTGATTTTCCTAATCTACCAGAAGATCAAAATCACCCATGATTATTGTATTGCCTTTTCACTTATCCTCATTATCTCCTGATTTAATCTCTGTTTTATAAAGCAGCTACTGTTTTACGTGGGGGGGGGGGGGGGGGGGGGGGGGGGGGGGGGGGGGTAGGGGGG